ACTCAAAATGGAGGGAGTTTCCTAAAATGTATTTAAATTAGTCACTGTAGTTATTGTAAATTTTCTTACTTCAACACAATTAGTTTAAATGTCTATTTTAATAGGTAATTTATTTAAAAAAAAGGTTAAAGTTAGTTAAACATAATCCTTTTACAAATAAAAAAATATCGCAATAATAAGTCATCGAAATATCCTTTTAATAATTCTGTTAATATTTAGAGATAAGACTCTTCTTACAATGCGCACACTCTACTCATATTTCTATGAATGTCCAATCATCAACGACCTTTCTATTTATGGTTCATGGTCACAATGTGAGGTTGAGTAATAAGACTGCTATCTGCCAGGCTCATAATAGTGAAAGTGATGTATTGCAATTGCCGAAAAAACTGTAATAAAAATAAGTACATTATTGCTAATTACCCGTGTTTGGTTCCTAATTTCAATATTTTAATTTCTTCTACCGTTGTGATATAATAAGTAAGTGATCGCGTCGTTGATGCTTTTGTTTCCGATAGATAAAGAAAATTCCAACAACAGCAAGCATCTTCTGCCGGCTGGCAAAAGGGATAGTTGATGTTTTTGGTATGTTTTGTTATCGTTTTTAAATATCTATACGTATGCATATGTATTAGTGTAAAATTTTTATTACATTTAAATATTTATCTAGGTATTATGCTGATAATAATTAAAAAAATTAATTACGGTAAAGGAATTGTTAGGTTTATTGTACAACGTAAGGAGAAACTTTAGGTAATCATTTGTGCCAAAGGGCACTGAATTGTTATAAGTAACAAGTATTAAATGTGTGTACACACAGTACATTTACAATGCAATCATAATGTTAGATTTATTTCAGTTACAATCTTGCATATGAAATTACAGACATAATTTTTATATTGCTACATAATACTTAACATTTCGTGTCAAAGGTGAATGACGTCTCTTTTAGTAGCATGTGACAGGGACATTTGTTACGTATCAGAATAAAATAGTAACGTCTTTGTGTGAATATAAGAAATCGCTTGCCTCAATCGATATTACCTTTGGGTCAGTTATTTATCATTTTCAGTATGCGTAAGTTGCAAATTGTATATTAAAAACGACATTTCTTTAATCAAAAATAATATCAAAGGGGGCAATGTATAGGTATACTTACATACATACAGTCGCATGTAAACAGTTATTGAAAATAGAAAAGGTTTTTAATTTATTTTAATTAAAAAAAGTCAAATTTCAAAAATTTGTATATCAATAATTCAAATACTTTGAAGAAAAATGATTTGAAATTTAAATTAGAGATGCACCGGATGGTGATTTTGCTAGGTTACCGGATAGCCGTGTACCCGGCATTAGCCGTATGTCCGGCAAAATCACTACGCATAAACGCTGCCTTTATTTTAATTGTTGGTTGGCGGATTTTCAACGAGAGGGTTGAGTTGAAACCATTGAAACTAGCCTATAATGTTCTCTAACACTAAAAGTCTGCAAGGTGATAAAATCATACTATAATAAGATATCGTTAAACAAAATCTGATATAGATGTTAATAACGGACAGAAATTGTAACAGTTCGGCCATACTGATGTATTCTTGTTCACAAGATTATTAAACTTAGGAACTATCTATATCGAAATAGTTTAATATAGTCATCAAGAAATAATACAAATTAGGACAAACCACCTATCCCAATAGAAACTTAATTACCTACCAATTTTCATTAGGTAGGTTTTTATTATACTTATTAAATTACACTGTAAACTCTATATAACGACACTTACGGGACTGAACATTTTTCGGCGTTATAAAGAGTGCTCGTTAAATGGAGAGAAATAAAAGATATTATTTTACTATTCTATAATAATATGCATTTACCAATATAGTACACATTTTGCACACGAACATTATTATTCATACATTGCGTATAGCCTGTTATCTTCGTCTGATGTTTTTTGCTGCTCCAATATTTTAATTGTATTTTGTTACGTATCTTACTCATATCTTGAGATACTGCTGGATCAATTTGATTATATAAAAAGTATTTTTTTAATAGTTTCGCTGCATCAAGTGCTTGTTTGATGCTTGGTGGAGGGACAGGATCGTCTTCTTCAACAACGTACACAGCTGCAGTTCTTATCTATTTCGGCACGCGGGTACGCGACCGATTTCTAATTTAAATGCATATTGAAATATTTGAAAACTAAAAATTTTAAATATCCAAATATTTGATCTTTCAAAATTTCAAATATTTATTTGAATAAACTTCCGAGTTAGTCGATAAAAAACAGACAGCGAACCAAAGATCTAAACACCACACAATGCTCGCAAAATGCTCGCGAAATGCTCGCCCCTCATTCGAGACCGAGGTAATTGACGATCGAGACTGGGGTTCACGATTAAACAAAAACAAAAAAGAGGAGTAACAGGATCAGTAACTTTAGAGGGCATTTATTTCAATATTTAAGTTCTTTTAATACAAAATTTAATTGATATAAAATACAGTAAAATCTTCGTCCTTTAATAAGAGTGCATTAGGCGACAAAAAAAAATTTATTAAACGATAAATTTGCGTTATCGCAAACTAACATCTCATTCGGGTTTAATGTCGAGGAGCAGATGCTGTGAAAAATTCGATCTTCTCATTCTTCGGTGCATGTACGACGATGGTATGTTAAAGACGCCGTCGATGGCGCTAACTCATCTTGCAGTTTCCTCTCTTATATGATCTTGGCGTTTTACAACTCTCTTAATTCGCATTACAACTTAATCCGTTGACGTTTATGTGGTTTTCGGGAGACATTAAATTATCAGTTTTATGATTTAGCAAACAGATTTGGTTCGAATAAATTTGTCATTGAGGTTGTAAATAAGACGGGTTCGTAAAACGCCCGCCGTGTCCTGCGTGCCACTTGTAATTACTTTTAATAAATTACTTTTAAATGTAAAACCGTTGTAATTACGTCAAAAAATAATTGATGTATGTTGATGTGCAGGGAGTCCCAGAATATTACACTATCTAGAAAATTGTACCTATTAGAAGGTTACCTTACCTTACCGTAATAAAAATGTTCAGTCTCTCAGAATCTCTGAAAGCGAGACTCGAGTCTCCGCCTCTCATCGAGTCTCTCTGGTGTCGCTAAGAGAGACTGTCAAAAAAACTGTTTAGCGTCTCTGAACGAGAGACTCGAGTCGCTCATAGAGAGATACTCATTTCGTATCCAGTCTCTGAACGAGAGACTCGAATCTCTCAATAAGTGGTGTTTCGATAGACATGGTTAAAATTTTCTAAGTTCAACATATTTCAGAGATCCCCGTCTTTCTACGAGAGACTCGAGTCTCTCAATTTTTCAGTTTTATTTATTCAGTCCCTCTGTGAAAGACTCGAATCTCTGAATTAACAATTTTATCGTTCGAGTCTCTCATACAGAAACTGTGCGAGATCCATAAAAACATCTAGGCAATAACTGAGAGACTGTGAAAGACTATGAGAGACACTCTCAGAGACGCTGAAAGACTCTGAGAGACTGGGGAGAGACTGAAAATTTTTGTCTAGGGATCTCTTGAAATAAGTAGGTATTGTATGAAAAACATGTAACGGTTTCTAGATTGCTACAGTGTCAAAACTTACTAGGAAAAGTGCAGGTATCATTTTGGGTTTGGGGGTTTTTGGGAAATTCGTGGTATTCCATTACCAGAAGCCTTAATTTCATGATCAGTGTGAAAATCATTGTAGAATAACAACGATAATACTGTTATTTATTTTAATTACGTTTGAAAATAAAATCAAAATTTAATTACAAACATTCACGGTTGAAAATCTTCAGTTATCATTCTTCGTTTTGGGGTTTTTGGGAAATTCATGGTTTCTATTATCAAAAACCTTGATTTTGTGATCGATGTGGTAAGAATTCATGTTACATTAGTATGGATGTGGCTGACTTTTCTTAGGGAAACTTCAACTTCCATTTTGGGTTTTAGGATTTTTGGGAAACTCATAGCAGTCTATTTTTAAAAGCCTTTATTTCACAATCAGCGTGGTAGAAAGTCATGTTACAATAACATGGATGAGACTGTTATTTCCTTTAATTAAATTTTCAGAAATATAAAAATGAGGACAAAATTTAATTACAAATGTTCATGATAGAAAAACTTCAGTTATCTTTCTGGGGTTTGAGGTTTTTGGGGAATTCATAATATTTTACCATTAAAAGCTTTGATTTTGTTATTAATGCTGTAAAAATTCATATTTTAATAGTCTTGATGTGGCTAACATTTCTTCTAGTTACATTTTTAGAAAAACAAATAGAAAGATAAAGGTTAATTACAAATATGGTAGGAAAACTTCAGTTCTCATTTTGGATTTTCGGATTTTCGGGAAATTCATGGTATTCTATCATCAAAAGCCTTGATTTTGCCATTAGTGTGGAAAACAATCATGGTAGGAAAACATCAATGAGACTGTTATTACTTCTAATTACATTTTCAGAATCATGAAAATGAAGATAAAATTTAATTACAATTTTTTTGGGTTTTTGGGAAATTGATGGTATTTCACTGCCAAAAACCTTGATTTTGTGGTCAATGTGGTAAAAACTCATGTTATAATGGTCTTAATGTGGCTGACAAATACAAAGGTTAATTACAAGTATTCATGGTAGGAAAATTTCAGTTTTCATTTTGGGTTTTGGGATTTTTGGGAAATTCATGGTATTTTATTACCAAAAGCTTTAATTTTGTGACTAGTGTAGAAAAAGGCTGTAAAAATAAAATTCAGACAAATACTGAGGTAGGCATAATATTCCACAGAATCTGTCGCTCCCTTCTCTGTTTTAATTTCGTTCGTCTCACCTGTCTCCTCAATCACCACTGAACTATTTCCAAGGTTTCAAAAAAAGACTGAAAAGTCAAGTCCATCTTACCCTCAGGTGTTGACCTACAGTGTAGATCGGAAGGACTAGTAACTGGAAGTTTTTTAACAAAACTGATTAAGAAATAAATAAAATATAAACCGCTTTGATATTATATTAATAAATGACATTGTTTAAGCGCTTTATAAAATTATTACACGTTTCAAATGTTGCCTTGATTAATAGCCGTAATATAATTTGAACAAAAGCTGGGCACATAACAAGGTAGTCAACCGAGGACCGTTATTGTTGTTAAGTGTTTGTTGTTATTGCTGTCATTATTTATTATTATCTGTATTATTTATAATAAGATTGCACTTCCTACATTAATTACTCCTTGTAGGCACTTGTTCTATTGTGTTGACATGTTGCATGATTGTTTTTCGAAAAGGTCACCGCAGCCGCATGAGTAGCATGTTACAAAACAATCCAAGGTGTACAATTAGTCTGCACGTGCACCCTCCACAACAATAATTATAAACCTGCTACTTATTTATTAAAACTATACCATATAAGTACGCATAAATATCTTGGTATTAGAAGACGCATACTCGATTACAATACCTAATGACACAATTGACCCTAATTCTGATTAGCTGTTGTTAAAGTGAGAAACAATTTTGTGTTGGACGTTAAATTAAATTCTAGAGCTGAAAAACCTCAATTAACTATTTAGTAG